CTCACCTATTACCGTAGTAACGCGAGCGTTACGTTATCGCCACGTACCGCTGGGGCGGTAGGGGTCAACATGTCACAATATCTTAAATAAGAAACTTGAAAAGGTAAAATCTTCATGAGATGAATTTGTCTGAATTAGCCAACAGAAATGTAATCAGGTTAAAAGCACAGGCATGAAGTTTCTGTTGGTATTCCACATAGGCAGGACATATCATGATGAAACTTCCTCCATTCTTTTATGTCTTCCGTTTTGTGTATCTTCTTTTATTTGATCTCTGGCCTGGTCTCTCCCTAATTGCCTTTCATTCAACATCTTCATATTTCAAATCTTTGTGTTGCATCCTGTTGTGTTGTGTAGATGAAATATTTATTGTTTCCATCAACACACCAATTCTTTACAAGGCATACAAATGAACGTTTACATTAAAGCCATAAATCTTAAAGGCACATGTTTCGACCTTAACTGGGTCATCATCAGGTGTCGAATCCATACTGAGTACAAGTTCAGTACAGTAACACTAACCGACACCTGATGATGACCCAATTAGGGTCAAAACATGTTGTGCCTTTAAGATTTATGACTTTAATGTAAACATGCATTTGTATATCTCTTAACCCTTTCTGGTCAAATGTCGATATATAATCGACATAGTGACTGCATGTCCATGGACAAATGTTGATATACTATTGATAAAGTTTTTTTTCGTGTTTCTGTGGTTATATTTCAATCATATGTCACTAGTTGGCACTGCAGACTATACCAATGCATGCATGAATGTTTTGTCTACCTCCTTCTACCATCTGGAAGTTGTGATTTGAACATCTTGAGGAATGAAAGCCATTTATATATTACGGTTTGTCAGTTGTTAGTAGCATGCTTTTACATTCAGCCAAACCAAGGCCCTCTAGATTGAAGAAAGTAGATATAATCCTTCATGTGATGCAGATGAAGAATCTATGTTAAATGATGATGATGAGACTAATTTGGAAATTGAAGGAGAAACTACGAGTGAAGAATCAAGCAATGAAATGTCAGCAAGTGAGAGTGAGAGCAAAACAAGTGTTGCTGCATGTTGGTGGGTGGGAAGACATGACAATGGGCGATGATGCATGTGGGGAAATGATGACACTGAATAAAACAATTGGGCCATCAAAAGGACATGATAGTACATGAGGTGATAAAACTAATAGCAAAACAATTTCAGTATAATTTTGTGTCATGTATAAACATTAATAGGTGAACCAACAGTTGGGTTCAAGTGAAGAATAATTTTCAAAACTTAAAATCTAAAAAATAAATAAATAAATAAATAAAATAAAATAAATAAATTAAAAAAACCAATGAAGTGGGGAATCAGATTATTTGCATTATCTTGTTTTTCTGTTTGTTAGCCAGCTGTTTTGCCATGTCTATCTCTAATATGTCCCTGGCTTGTGTGTACCCTCTTCACTAGTCTTCACACGTTTTAGCGCACTTCAGAGCAGCGTAACAGTTTGGATGCATTAAGACACCTGAAGATGACCATCTATGGAAGAAGCATGTTGTGTTAAGTGTTAAATGGTGAATAAGCAATTGTTGCATTATTGACAGGCTGTGGTTACATAGCCATTTAATTAAAGATCTGCAACAGGATGCTGCAATACAGAATTACATAGAAATCTGAATCTGAATACAATAAAATTGAGATATAAATGTCTGACGGACAAGATCTAAACCCTAAAGTAACTGAACTGTACTTACAGAAATTAAACACACAGTGAGTTTAAATGTTGCATGTGAAAAAACAAAAGTATTTTACCCGAATGTCCTCATGTGTGACACTGGTCTGCAGATTTGAAACCACAATCCTATGGCCAATGGGGGCAGAAGGTGTAGTGTTGGCAGATTTTGAACCAGCTGAAAGAATGCCCATGGTGCGAGGAGTAACAACAGGTGTGTCCAGTCGAGCTTTCAATTCTGAACTCATTCTGCCAGCCATGGCACCTGTACTGCCTGATACACTGCCTTGCCTCCAAAGAGGTAAGTCCTCATCAGAGTCTTCAGGTTCAGTGCTGCAAGAAAATAACAGGTACACATTTTATTTTGTCATGGAAAAAATGAAAGACATCCAACGCATTCAGGAAGTCCTGGATTTGAAATTCAGTCTCAAAAAATGATGCTCCTGACTGTACTTCTCCTCAGTCCCTTCAGAAACTGGTGACAGTGTATCATAGGTCACAATCACTTTCTTTCCAATGTATCATTCAATGATTCTATAATTTAAGCAGTTGACATATGATCGTTAAATAAAAAGAAATTTTGTTGCATTTGAGATTCTCACAGCAGTGACTATAAAGAATATGATCTTCTGGATTGTAACATCATGTAGCACAGTAGAAGTCAAACAAATTTTTAGAGGAATCACCTCCTCCTTTGGGTTCCAAGACTAAAGCTAACACCATTCTTTGGTTTGAGCCCAGTGCAGTCCCCAAAGAATGAAGGTTTGCAGTTGGTTAGTTGCAAAAATTGGGAAGCTGAAGATAGCCTGATTTGGTCAGTTGCAGTCCTAGTTTCTTCTTGACCCCTGGTGAGAGAAACTTTCTGGTGCCATTAGCTCTGCATTGGCCTCGTTTTAAATTTACAAAAAAAAAAAAATATTAATCAGTTATACTTGAGAAAAAATAGAAATTAGAAACTGTAACTCTGGCACAAAACAGACCTCATCATTAATCTTCAGAAGGAGACAGGGCTTGTGTGCCCTCTTACTCTTTTGCATCATACAAATGTTTAGTTGACCACTTGGCATAATCACAAATTTTGATTGCAAATTCCTGGACCTATAGTTTTAATTAGTCAGCCAGTAGCCAATTTGCTTGCAAAAGCTGTGGACCAACTGTACAGAAGAATTTTGTAAATTTGAGAGTGAGCTCAAAAATGCAAAATTCGCATTCATGACAGAGGCATCCTTCCAGACATATCTTGGGCCTGCAGGGGACAAGATTTGCATCATTACTTGACCTTGGAAATTATTATTTACAAATTAACTTACTAAGGTTGAAGAGAAATACATTTAGTTTTCAAGAATATGTTCCAACTGTGGCCAATAGCATATGATAAATTTAGCAATTTCATTACCTACTTACTGTGTTCTTACTATCAGTGTGATACTTTTGTATTTAACTCTTATTATTTGATTGGTTAACTAAGTGACTGAGATACTGGAATTACAACTAGTGCTACACTCTAAAAGTAAACTGTGTTGTGTTGTGCTAGACCGATTCATTTATAATCAGCACATTCAGCTACCCAATCCACTTATGTTACACCACACCATATCACACATTTCTGCAGAATCTCATCACCGCTCAACTACCGTGTCACCTTGAATCATTCTATATCCCAGTGTCCTGCAACCATAATCATAGTTACAGTCCATTTATGATCAGTGATGGCTGCTGCCCAAATTAGCAACATGGTAAATGGGTGAAGAAAGGTGGAGCAACTCTGGCAATATTTGAACCACTTATAATTAAGGTAAGAGGTAACAAGAGAAGATAAATTTAAAGGAATGATTGAAAAACCAAACAAGAAACCAGCCTTCTTCTTGCTTGACTTATTCCTTCACTCTGAAGATGGAAGTGGCATGTTCATCTGAAATGTTGATGAACGTCCACCAAACAACACAAAGTTACAATTGAGAAGACTGCAGAAACAGACATTCTACATCCAAGATGTGATCAATACAACATAAACAGGAGACTAACTCCATGCTGAAGGGTTTTCTTTGAAGAGTTGACAACTATTATTAAAAGACCCTAATTTTACAGCACCACTGTGTTCATAGATGTCTGCCAATGGATCCCCTCTTCAGTGGATAAAATCCAGTCCACTCCTTCACAATAATTCTTACATATATTAATATTATTTTCCATCTATGATTAGATTTCTTCTCTTGAGCTTCAATGACTAAAATTTTGTATGCATTTCACCAGGAATCTACATGTTCTGTCCACTTCATCCCCTTGCTTTAATCGCCCTAATATGAGTAACAGAGATAGCATAAATTATGAAGCTCCTAAATGCATAACCTTCTCCACTTCTCTGGTACATCCTCTTTCTTAGGCTCAAATAGAGTATTCCCTTTAGCAGCATGTTCTCAGACACCCTCAATCTATAGTCTTGCCTTAATATGAGAGCCCAAGTTTCACATCCATATAAAACAAATAGAAGAATTCACAAATCATGGCATACAACACAAAAATACTGCTCCAAATTCAGTAAACAATACAAATACCATAATAAACTAGTAGAAAAGGAGCTGAGGAAGTAAATGTAACAGGAAATTTTCAAAATACATGCCAAATCACACATTCACAAAAGATGCATAAAATTTAATTAACACTGAGTCAAACTTAAGAGGAAGTCCATTCTCCTCTCATTCCCGTCTGACCTTTCATATTTTATTAAGTACAGCCTTCTCCTGCTTGGGGCAAATCGGTAACCAATATTAAACAAAAGCTAACAAACAATATTCATGCTTTTCTGAAGTATCTCTCTGAAACATGAAATGAATGTCAAATTCTTTTCCATGACACTATCCTGTTAGTGAAAATTATGTATTACACTACAAGTATCATGTTTTTGGACACTATCCATCGTCTTGCCTATATTTAAAAACTGCCCTGTTTATTTTCTCTCTCTCTCTCTCTCGTGTTGGTACCATAAGTATTGCTTCTCTCCGGCGTTGATTTCAATCGAGATACTTCTCTGGTGCAAGACCTCATATGTGTGGCGATTCAATAATTGATTATTTTCTTAGGTCTAGCAGATGGTTTGTGTTGTGTTTGACTTATGTACCCCTTCTTGAAACTGGCATAGGTGTCCAGAGATAGGGACTACCTCTATCTAGTGGGCCCAACTGAGTAGGTTTTACTTGAGGATGGAGACAGAATCCTGTCTCTGAAACGTTATGTTTTGAAAAATAAACAGGATAGTTTTTAAATATAGACAAAATTATGGATAATGTCCAAAAACGTGATACTTGTAGCAATGTACCATCGTCACAAACTTTTAGATCTTATTATATATTACACTAATTCCACACAATACTCAAAGTGTTATTTTAAGAGGAAACGGTACAGAGTTCCAGCAGTAAAATTTCCTGGCTGGAGGAGAACATATCAACCACTTCAAGAAATTATAAAAGTTGTAAAGAAAATTCCAAATAAACCTTTGTTTTGCTTGGGTCTGGATATAAATAAGCACTGTATGTCATGAGAAATCTTAATCACCACTAAATGTATAAAGTCTGTATATTTTCAGTCATTCATTCATCAATCCACTTACAGTAACTTAAACTGTTCATGTTAATTTTAGTTTACATTCTAATGAACATGAACCATGATAACCCAGTGTACAATGTGACTCACTACAGGTTGAATAAATGGAGTCTGACTTCCAGCAGTGGTGAGACTTTTGTCCCCAATTACAATTATGTTTGACCTGACTCTGGCACTAACCCGTTCCTTAATCCAGTGCACATCAGAAGATTATAGCCCCAGAGATGATGCTTGTCATTTGCTTGCACTTAACATACAGCACTAGAATGTGTGGAACTTTGAGTCTACTTCCCTTCTGTGCCTTCCTATATGGTGGTTGGGCAGAGGAGATACTGTAATCTTCATTCCTTTGTCTCTGGTATACTACAATACTGATCACAATTTATTTGTATGTAGATTACACTGCTATTAAATAGAATGAGGTACAGTGTTCTTTTCTGTAAAACTTTGCTATGGGCTATATCATTATAGTGCAGTGACCAGTAGTGGGGGGTGGCATCCAGCTGGGTCCACTTGGCATGTTGGCCTATTGTACCTGTCCTGGGTGATTATGATGATGGAGAATTTGGTGGAATGAAGATTGGCAGGGGAAACTGAAGTACTCTGAGATAACCTGCCCCAGTGCCACTTTGTCCACCACAAATCCCACTTGACCAGACCGGGGCTCAAACCCGGGCCACCACAGTGGGAATCCAGTGACTAACCACTTGAGCCATGGCGCGGCCTACAGTGACTAGTAAGTACATTTACTTACACACCTTTTACTCAGTGTCTGATGCAGTTACACTAAAACTGGCCACAAATATTTTTAATTTCCTGCATAGCTTTTTAGTGTGTCTTTACAACAGAGCATCTTTCACTAACACTATGTTTTTCCGATGCAGGTACACTATTTACCTTCTTGTAGTTCTCCTACACAGCATCTAATGGGCTATTTTTATCTTACTGCTCCCTACTTTCCCCAACAGAAAACAGCATATATATATTTCAATAGCTGAAAGAAGTAGTTCCTTAACCTATTAGTTTCCTTTTAACTAATTGTAAGTTAATTTAATTTAGTTTCTTCTATTTGCATATGGTCAATGCAGACAATGCTAGATATGCCAAGAGGTTTTCTGATGCAATTATAAAAATAATTATAATTACCCGACACCTATAAAATTACAGTGAAATACGATTAACATGCCGACTGCCACAATGAATTTTTAAACTTGTTCTTCTCAAGCCAAAACTGGTATTTCATTTTACACAAGTTGTAAATAGTACTCTGCAATTTATTTCACAAAAGTTCCATAAGTATGTGATTGGGGGAACTTATTAGAGCAGACACCAGTGGCTGATGTGACCTGAGTGCAACTTCTCAGCCTTATTGTAAATTCTTTATGATTTTGCCTCATTTTATTACTTTTCAGGGATATTAGCTGCATTTAAGTGTGCTTCTTATAAAGGATCCTGCCTACTGCAACAGTAAGATAAAAATACAAAGTCTTTCACAAACCTTCAATCCTAAAATCCATTCTTCATGGAGCTAGGACTGAAGACAATCATTTTATTTTATTTGTGAGTCGAAAGTCTGGTTCTTCTGCTATACAATATACCAAGGTAACTGATCATTATTTATCTCATGAAATAAGTAATATATACAGCCATTATTATTATCGTGGATATTTCTGAACTGCCTGTTCTGCTTCAGAAACGTCTGGGTCATCAGAAAGTGAAAATGAAAGAGATGACTCCACAAAAGATCCCCTGTATCTGCCAGTTGGTTCTAATGATCCACATGGGTCTAGTGGAGATATTATTCTGCCACCAAACACCATGGATATGTCCAGATTGTACATATTCCACGTATCAAAAATATGGAGGGAAGATTTATTAAACAAATCACAATTCATTCCAACAAGACTATTTCACATGCATCCACTTAGCAGCCTTTTACTTAAAGTACATATTCACATACACGAGTAGAAAAGCAAAGACCCACAGAACCTTGAAAAGGCACTAGTATTCGATTGATGGGTCTCCAGTAGACAAAAGAAGAATGATGTTCACAGAGATATCACTAAGATGTAGCAAACAAAGCACATCAGTTCCACCATAGAGTGCAGCTCAGCCACAAGACAGCAACAATGAAGTACAAGTCACCTAAAATACCTTCGATAGATGGATAGACTATGCCTAAGGGTAACCAGGACAGCTCATTTTCATGCGAGTAACTAGTACTGATTCTGGATTAGGTGCTTTTTTTAGCTGAGGGTACAACCTGAGACTTATATTCTGCTATTATTAGTGATTCTATAATGGACAGAATGGTAGATCAGAAACCAACACCTATGACCACTCATAAATTGGTAGATGAGCTAGACATCAAACCATATTCTCAACTATACTCAAAGTAACCAACAATAAAAGATGAGATGAGAAAATCTGTAGAACTCCTTGCATGATTAGGCTTCCTACTACTGCAGATCACTGGAGCAAAAGCTTCTTACATAAAAATGAAGTAACTCAAATTACTGTGCATAGGAACAGGTCACATTACATGTGACACTTTTCCAACACTGAAGAATGTCCACTAAATGACAGGTTGCACAAAAGACAACCACTAACTGATATATGTACATAAAAATGTCATGGAATAGTCAGCCCTGGAAAGGCTGTTTTTATTGGTGAAATGACTGTTTCACTCAGAACGTGATTACCGATGAAACAGTATGTTCCTTAAAGGCACACAGACACAGCATAAAGGTGCTATACCTTTGCACTGGTAGAAGTTATACATGGAATTCAAGCATATAACTGGCAAGAAGTCAGATCTTAAGCATACGTCCCTACAAATCTGGTAGTGAAACTTCTGGATTCTCTACTTGCATGCAAAAAGACAGTAGTTATAGAGAACTATTACGAAAGTGTGGAACTTTCCAACAAAGACTTTGATCATGATACACGTTCTCTTGGCACGCTACAAACGTGAAAAGAAATCCATGTAGAAGTTATAAACACAAAATTGAAAAGGGGCCATTTGATAGCATGAAAAACAGTAGCGGAATTACAGTACTGAAGTGGCATGATAAATGAAATGTCGTACTCCTCAGCACTTGTCATTCAAATGAAACAGAGTCCCAAACATTAGGCACAATGAAACAGTAATCAAACCACAAGTTGTCATTAACAACAATTCTGGAAAACCTCCAATTTATCTCTTAGATCAGATGTCTAGAAATTCAGCAAGCCTTTGACAGTCAGTCAAGTGGTACAGAAAACTAGCAATGGAAGTAGTCCTTGGCACTGCAGTGGTAAATCCAAATTTCCTTTACAACAAAATAAGAAAGGTAGACACTTCAGTTACTAAATTCAGGGAGTAAATTGTAAAGGGACTGCTGAACCATGAGACTGCTGAAGAAAACACCAATGAAGGAAGAATCCGAAGTCTGAGTTTCCACTCTTACAAAATGGGAGGATCTAGCTGAATTGGAAGAAGTACTGCAAAGTGTATTACAAAAACAAAACAGAAGGAAACTGGAAGAAATTTAAGTTTGCAAAGTAACTATGAATTGTGAAGATTTTATTGACTGTCTGCAATATTATTTGGAATGCTATGATTCAGTTCATTACAAGTACATACATTGCTTTCATATACGAGTAAAATCACTTGCTGTTTTTGGAGAAGACATGCAGTAATATTTGTGTTAAAATTTACTTGTGAATATCTGAGTTGTGTGAAGTAGTGTGGACTAAAAGAACACAACTGAAATAATTTTCTTGTACCTTTACTGTAAGATGTTAAACATATATACTTCAACAAAAGGAATATCACATTATTAAAGCCCTGGCTTGATATTCAAATTCACTGTGTTGGTATTCAGATTAAGTCTATAATAATATTTATACAATAAAGATATTCTTCTGATACTTGTGCTGTTTTTGCTTAAATGTGAAACCCCAGAAACCATGCTTGTACAGGATGTCTAGAGACCATAGTGTAGACACATAAACATACGTGATGTGCTTGGCTGCTACACACATGGCAGTCGGATTCAGTTACAGGGGAGCATGTAAATGAAGAAAGACATCAGTGATTGCTGTAGCAGTAAACCAAATGTTCTACAGCAGACACCAGTGTCCAGTGTGATGGTCAAAGTGTTAATATTGTGTGTCATATTAGTCCAAGAATCCATTTTTTTTTTTTTTGTGAATTTAAAGCTGCTCTCCTATGTATTTCTTAATTGATTTAAATTGTCTGGTGTTTTGAGTGCCAATAAGATCCATTTTCCCCAAATTCCCTTCTATATCATTTGGCAACCCTTATCCTTCACATGACAGACATACCGTGAAACAGGAGTGACATTCCCATGTTTTACAGACTGGGCTTCGTAATTCCATTCCTTCCTCTCAGAGAGCAGTGTTGGTCCATGCTTCTGGAAATAAGAAGCAAGAAAACAGATGAATAGAATGAACTGGTATACATCACACTGAAATTCTAGAAACCCACAAAACTTTACCGGCTGTGGTGTATTCCTGGCTATTATCTTGAGGCTTGTGGGTTGAACTGGCCCTCGTCTTACAACAGGAGAAGTCAATACAGGATCACACAGAATGGAAGCCTGTATTGGGCTGCGCGAAATGGAACTATACTCATCTAATGATGACGGTGAATCTTGAGGCACTGGATTCACCCATGTATAAAGGCTCCGTCGCTGCACAGGAGGAGCAAATAGTGGTGGCGGAGGAAGTGATGTTCTATCATTGCTCACTGTACGTCTCAGGACTGTGGATCCCACTTGCAATAGACCTATTGAAACACAATTTGTAACCATAAATACTTCTTCAAAGAGAAGTTGTAACATAATTGATAAAAACAAAACAGTAGTGCAAAATACCTTCTCTGATATGAGCATCAACATCCATTTCTGAAGCTGCCATTACAAATCCTCGACCCCCTGAAGTTACTGTGCGTTCCTGTATTTTATTTCCATTATGTGGAGTTCGTCTCTTATTGGTACTCAAACTGATTTGACCATTACGTCCAGTACGTCTCGTTATGCTGGCTCCAACACGAGATAAATTAGAGCTTGAATTACTCTGAAAAATATTTTTATACCATATAACACATTATTTTTATTTAACACACAACACTGTCATACTGAAACAGGGCAAGTTGATAATAAATATGGGCAAAATACAGAATTACCTAATATTAAAAAATTATTTCGTACTGAAGTTCACCAAAACTTTAAATCCTCTAGTTCATTACCTAGTTTTAAAACTTTTAAAGTTCATACTCTCAGTCACTGAAGGTGCATTTTCACTCCCTATAAATAGGGCAAGATACATCTTTGCTATCATCATGCTCATATAAAGTACTTACCCTTTCTCAGAAATCTTAACAAATTACAGCTCATATTTATAATGTGTACAGTCAACGAACTTTACCCTGTTTTCTCGTAGTTTGTCTAATTTCAAACGAGCATCAGTTTGCTTTGCAATTTCAGCCAACTTGTCTCTAGCGTCTATAAGCTTCTGGCGATTCTTCTGTATTATTCGTAGGCGAGCATCGGCTACTGATCCTGTAACATTAGCCCTCCGTCGTCCCTGAAAACCGCCTCTTCTGTTGACATGGTTCGTGTTGTTAAGACTCTGGCCACGACCACCAGACTCTAACCTCTTGATCTGTCCCCTGTACAAATTCAGTAAGTTCAGATTTCATATTGCATACTTTAGTTAAAATTACGGGCATTACTCAAATAATTGTTTATACGTGTATCATTTACCTGACAATACATATATATCTACTTTGGCGAGATAGGTACCAAACGGATAACATTTTCAAGAAGGAACATTTGATACTCGTAACCACAAATATTCTATATAAATGTAACACAATTTCACATACCTTCGCCGTCCCCGAACGTTTGAGTTTTTGGAAAACTTCTTTTGAATTATGTCATCCAGGCTAAGCTCCATATTTGCCATGCCGAAACAACTATCCCAACTATAATACAGCAATCCAGGGGTTACTAAACAACGCTCAACATTTTGTCTCCGTAGTTACTGTTATCCATGTCCACGGAGTATACACTATGTGAGTGACCCGTGATAACTATAATTCCCTTAAGAGCGCGTGGGATGTCATTATATGAAAAGACAGTCGCTTGCTGAACTGTTCTATAATATTTATTACAGTTGCACAGTATACACAACGAACCTGAGTTTGAAGAATTTAAGAATAATAATAAAAATAGTGAACTCTTTGAACACTGAAGTAGAACTGTAGAAATCTAGTACTGTCCAAGTGGTCCAAGTCACACTGCGACTGACCGTCTGTCAGTCTGTCTGTCGGGGCTCATGACCAGATTTTTTTTCTTACTTTTTTGTTTCTTATATGAAAGTTAGTACTTTCACCGACAGAGCCACGGACAGGGCCAAAAAGGAATATCTTGAGAAGATATGTATTGAGATTATAGAATTTCAAAGAACAGGACGTTATGATTTGATGTACATGAAGACAAAAGAATTAGGATGGAAAGAGAATCATGGGATTCAAAATGTTGGCATTGAAGACTCCCAGGGGAATAGAATGGTAGATCAGAGGAAAGTGCTGAAAATTTGGGAAAATTATATTACAGAACTATATGATCGAACTAATCGGCCAGAAACCTTAGAAGTTGAACCGGAAGAAGACGGGAAAGGACCATATATTTTACAATGTAAGGTTGAAAAAGCAATCAAGGAAATGAGGAAGGGAAAGGCTACAGGAGATGATGATGTACCTGGAGATGTGCTCAAGTTACTGGGAGAAGGTGGTTTGAAAACACTGACAAAACTAATGAACACCATATATGAAAGTGGAGAGTGGCCCAAGGACTTTACAGAAGTTACAATGATTGCCTTAAAGAAAAAGACAAAAGCTACAAAATGCAGCGACCATCGCACAATAAGCCTTATTGCACATACAGCAAAGATA